TGAGCTTACCTCCATTTCGGGTGAAAGTGTTTGGTGAAAAGATTCGAAGGTCGATTCCACCAAAAGACGAAGGCAGTTTTCTCTTGACCAGCTGTCGATTGGCTTTATTGGAAGATGCATGCGGAGGCTGTTTCCGAGGTAATCTGCTTCAATTCCGGTGAAAAGGTGCTAAGCTTTCGTCCGTTATATGACGAACATCATCAGAGCAAGGTATCATCGTCACAACCAAATTAGAGTTTCCTTGACTCATTAGTCTTCCAATCTCTTCACCAAACACTTTCACTCGAAATGGAAGTAAGCTCAACAATAATAAAACAAGAGATTTCTCGAAACCCAACTTTTATTCACATATATTCCCATGCTTTAGTCGCCTGGCCTTAATGCATGTGGTGTTGTGTATTGTATGTATGAAATGTTCGGGTCATGTGTCTTAGCAGTTGGTAGGTAGCTAGGAGATGGCTCTTTATGTACTTAATCACAGATTCGATTCTACAATATCTCCGTCTTTCTCTTCTTGCATAAGTGTTTAATCTGATATTTTCACTTTTATCACCTTTCCCATTTGAACAGTACATTTCTCTACCGTTGCTCTGGCTGCCACATGCCGATCGGCAAGTCAGAACTGGTGCTCCGGCTCCGGACGCACACCTATCACATGGGCTGTTTTCGTTGTACCCTGTGCCAACGGCCTTTGCACCCCGGCGAAGAGGTCGCCTACCATCACGATCTGCCATACTGTCTGCCCGACAGTCGGCACTGTCATGTTTTCGGCCTCCTGCCGCTGCGTCCTCTTCCACCACCACCTCCACCTTCCGCTCCTCCAGGATCCTCCCAGTCAGTCACTAGTCCCTTACCCCCTCTACCTACGACGGCACAGCCCCCGCCACCACCGCCGCCACTACCACTACCACTACCACCCCCACCACAGTCCACTTCGGGCCAGATGGTACATGATCCCGGTCCCTTTTTTAGTTCGACAGGTCAATTTCATGTCAACTCTGCAATTCGGGCGCCTCCTTTCGACCCCAACCTCCTGCCCAGTGCCAGTAACCAGCGCAGTTTACACAACTTCCTCGAGCTGGAGCTCGCCTCTTTTCCACCGCAATGTACAAACAGTGGTACAGTTGCCAGCACAATTGTCCGCAGGCCTGGCCAGTCGAAGCCCCTCAAGTCTGGAGGGGATATCACGACGGCAAAGACGACAGAGTCGCCTGGCCCAGCTGCTTCTGGTGTTCGGATGATGATGATGATGATGATGGAGGATTCACCATCTACAGGTCTTGACCGAGAGTTTTCTCGTGATAAACCAAACCCAGGTGGCCCGATGAGCCGTCTGCAAAGATATCTGACCCCACCCGCCATAATAACCAGCAGCGAAGGTGGACTC